TATATTGGGCACTTTTTGCATTTAAACTGGATTATTCTGACTGCTGACATTGAAAATCATGCATGTGTTGTTTCGAGGGTATCAGCAATTTCTTGATTGCCGTTTTGACACTGTCTGCTTGCATATTTCATGTTCGGTAGCCAAATTCTCTTTAATGTAAGCTATTTGCCCGAGTTGATCCATTTACCTGCGAAATTATTATATTTATATTATTTTGTTGTCATTATTTTGTTTTAAGGAGTTAAAAATGGTCCTTATCAACCTTGATTTACACACCGTTTTGAGTTGACTGTCATGGTGTGTACATGAACGAGTGTGAAATATCTGCTAATTACGTTTTTTCCTATCACTTATTGGGCACTTTTTGCATTTAAACTGGATTATTCTGACTGCTGACATTGAAAATCATGCATGTGTTGTTTCGAGGGTATCGGTAATTTCTTGATTGCCGTTTTGACAGTGTCTGCTTGCATATTTCATGTTCTGTAGCCTAATTCTCTTTAATGTAGGCTAGTTGATCCGTTTACCTGCGAAATTATTATATTTATATTATTTTGTCATCATTATTTTGTTTTAAGGAGTTAAAAATGGTCCGTATCAACCTTGATTTACATGTTTTATCACATTATTTTGACAGTTAAAGTTTTGGGCGGGTTTTTGCAAGCTTTTGGGCTGGAAATCGTCCATCCAATCTGGCAACACTGCTGCGCAGACCAGTTGGTTTATGACATCACAGACCACGAGAGCGGATTGAATGCATACAAAGCAGTCTGTTCGCGCGTTATTTTAAAGTCATAAACCAATATCTTTGTAAGTGGGGTATTCATGGCATCTGACATTCCTGAGCAGCCATACATGTTATAGATAGCAGAGATTGAGGGAATTTTTTGTCAGCACATTTTCCAGTTTAAGAGGCACGTCTGTCCACCCATAATCAATCTGGGCTCACGGCAGCAAACAGCAACAACTGTTTGAGCAGCAAGGCATTCGGTCAGTCAGTGAGAGGAATGATATCTGAGGCTGCGTTCAGTGTGGCAGAGCCTGACCCTCAACAACACGGCCAGAAATATGCTCACAAATGATTCTTTATCTGAGAACACCATTCAAAACAGAAGGCCAGAATCACTGGCTGCATGCTGTTAAAGAGTGTCTCAACACATCTTGTGGACTGCTTTTCAGTTACTATCCTCTCATTAATTCAGTATATATTTTTAAATACAAATACATTTCAATGAAATTCATATGTAACCACAATTTACAGTGTCTACTGAAGAAGCCTTTTGATCAAAACGTTTTAAAATCACAATAACCAAAAATGCACTTTATATATATATTTTTTGTATTAATCTTACTAAAAAAGTCTTCATGGGACCAAATTGTCAAAATCAAGTTTTTCATACATTTAAACAATAATACATTTTAGTTTCATTGCAATTAACATGCAATTAAGTTTCCTAAAACATTACACTGAGTTTGCCTTGTGAAAAAATGTACAAAGCCTATTTCCTAGAAAAAGTGTTCAAAATGCAATATCTTCTCATGAGATTCACACGCAACAATCGTCACAATCTCAATGATTTACAGCCCCTTTTGTTTACCCCGTGCTCATAATGCATGCTTATTGCATTTACTCTTCCACTTGCTGTATTTAAACACCCAGAAATAATCATTGTTTGCTTCCTTTAGTCGTTCTCCTTGCCTGAGCCCATTCTCTAGAGTCAAGGGATGATGAGATGTTACTGCTGCTCTCATGAAGAATATAAATGTCTGGATTGTGCATATGTGCAGCAACCACTGCTGACAGAGTGTGTGTGTGTGTGTATGGAGAGTGCCCACAAGGATAGCAAACCAGACGTGTGTGTGTGTGTGTGTGTGCGTGCGCACATGTGTGTGTGACTGTTGTAATATGTACTTTCCCTCTGTTCAGCCATTCTTTCTACAGCTGTCACACACACTTGTCTCTGTTCATAGAGCTGTCAACACACCGAGACCCGCCATAGATCGTGTAATGATAATGATCTGATCGTGTCCATGGCTCAATGCTTCTGATAAGTTGCTGTTTTGTGACACATCTCTAACCTGACACTTTCTAGCAGATATTACTCATGTCCTGTCTGGAGGTGTTGGCTTGAGCTTTGCGCTTGGTTGTTTAAACAACTACACTTTTAAAAGATTTCTTAATGGCTTATTGCAGATCTTTTTTTTGCTTAAAATAGTGATTTCAGATTGGTTCTAGGTCTCAGGGGAAAACTGAAGTCCTAATGGGTTTTTTTGAAGCCTCAGAAATGGTTTGACCCACTGAACTTTCATATGATACTTTCAGTAACTCCATTTTGGATCCTATATAAGACTGCACACACATTTGATCAATGTTAATTATTATCCACATACAACAATTATACATTGTTCAAAAGTTTGGGTTTGGAAACTAATACTGATCATGCATTAAACTGATCAAAAGTGACAGAAAAGGCATTTATACTTTTTATACGAAAGATTTCTATTTGAAATAAATGCTGTTCTTTAGAACTTTCTATTCATCAAAGAATCCTGAAAAAAAAAAATTCTTAGTTTCCGCAAAAAAATGTTGTTTTCAACACTGATAATGATAAATGTTTTGTTGAGCAGCAAATCGGCATATCAGAGTAATTTCTGAAGGATCATGCAACACTGAAGGCTGGAGTAATGATGCTGAAAATTCAGCGCTGCATCACAGGAAATAAATTACATCAAAAAATGCAATCCAATAGAAAACAGTTATTTTAAACTGTAATGATATTTCATAATATTACTTGTTTTTTTCATTTAAATGCTGCCTTGGAGAACATAAGAGGCTTCCCTCAAAACAAGACAAAAATACTCCAATAGAAAACAGATGTTTTAAAATGCAAATAAATAAACAAACAAACAAACAAACAAACAAACATATAACAGTTTACTGTATTTTATTTTATTTTCAAATAAATTGGTGAACAAAGGAGACAAACACATTAAAAATATTACTGACCCCAAACTTTCAAACAGTAGTGTTTGTTTAAGACATTTATTTGTTATTGTTATTATTAAATTTAAATTAAAAAAAACAAAACAAAACAAAAATATGAGTAAATTAAATAATTTGCTTATTATTATTATTTATATAATATACATTTTATTCATATGGTTCTCTGTTTTCAAAACAGACCAAATAAATGGACACCTTTTGTGTTTCTTAAACATATCAGGAATATATTTTTTAACAGCTTTATTTTGTTACCTCTTACTGTTTGTCTCTCTCCCCCCTCCCCCCCCCTCCTCATTTCTTACATAAGTTGTATCAGAGCGGAGAGTTTCTGCAAACAGAGCTCTTTTGTTGTGCTGGAAAAAACAGGCCTGAATTCCATCAGGTGATCCAGTGATTGCATATAGAGGCCAATGAACCTGTTTGCACTTGGCTTGCAGCCTACATGACTAACAGTAGTAATTTGTAGTCTTTCCTGGCAGAGAGATGAAACACTGAGAGATTGGTTTCCTGTATGAGATGACACTATTGTTGTCTGTCTCTAGTAGCTGAGACAAAGTTGCAGGATTTGCTACACATTTCAGACTTCAGACTTGAGAACATCCAAACAAGAAGCAGCTCAAAAATGTATGAATGAGCTACATTCAAATCGTTTGTCGTTTGTAGTTTATTGATATTATATTATATTATATTATATTATATTTAATGGATTCCATTGTGTTATGCCTAACTATATAATTTCACCATGGTACAATCACTGTAAAGCATGGCTTTTTACAGTAATGTCTACTGAAAGTTCAGCTTTGCCATGACAGGAATAAATTACTTTTTGAAATATATTTAATAAAAAATAAATAAAAAAATGTAATTTTGTGATCTGTAGTGAGAGCAGGGAGCAGGTGGAGGTTTGCTCTGGAGAGAAGAGGAATGAAGGTTAGTCGCAGCAAGACAGAATACATGTGG